CATCTGCCTTCTCCAAATGTTTTCCAGCCCAGATGTCTTTAAATTGCTTTAGAATAGAATACCAAATGGGGATTTATTTAGCATATCATTTCTGGGTGTGTGTTTTACTGAGCATTTATAGATCTGTGTGTTTCCGAGAAGCTGAGTTGCCCTGATAAAACAAGACAGATCATGATAAATGAGCATCTATGTAAGCCTCGCTGGGAGGAGGACGGGACAGCAACACCCCTCCTGTGAAGTTAATCCTGTTTCTTTCAGCTATTTCTTTATTAGTTAATGAGGTCTTGCAAAAATGTGTGTCTGTGATGGTGCTTTAGCATCCTTGCCTCCAGGAGCAGTTTCAAATATTCATAAAGCCGTGCATCTGACCAAAGCTTAAAGCAAAGGTGCATTAAGTATGAATTTAGTCAACTTCAAATGTGGGTGGTCGGAGAGCTGCTGCTGAAATAACCGAAATAATCCTCCTCACTGATTTTCATCTCCACGACTCTGGGCACGTGTGAAGGGTGACAGAGAAGAGGTGTTATTTACAACAGCTGGGACTCTGAGGGGCAGCCTGGAAGCTTTGATCCCGCGTCCTGACTGACAGGAATGTGCCTTGCTCTTCAAAAACAGAATAATTTAAGAGAAGCAAAAATAAATGGAAAAGGAATCACTGGTTGAGCCCTACGAAGGAGGGCAGAGGACAGACCATATGGTTCCTGAGAGGCGGGGCGAGCCGAGAGATCTACTTACGGTTTCCTCATGGCGAAGGAGGAGATGTGGGATCTCAGTAGATGGTATGGTGCTCAGCAATGCATTTGGAGAGCAAAGCAGATGTGGGAACTCAGCCAGCCGGCAGGGCTCCATGGCACAGAGAACCATGGCAGTCTTCTGCTTGGCCTGGTTTTGTAGGATCCCATACACAGCAACAGGGACCCCAAACACGGCTAGTGTTCAAACACACACACATGCACATGCACACACACACACATACGTACATACATGCATGCACACACACTTGCCTCTAAGCCCCAATACACAAACACACACTCACAAAACACATACATACATACATGCACACACACATGCACACACACTTGCCTCCAAGCCCCAATACACACACATACACACACACACACACGCACACGCATGCACGCACCTCTATCCTCTCAAAGCATAGCTTTAGAAAACCTTCACATTTCTCATCCTTTCATGATTTTCCAATGCATCATTTCTAGAAGCTGATCCTGTGGCCCTTCTCATCTGTACAGGTTAGTAAGCAAAGGTTTGATAAAAGTTTGGGGCAACTTGAACTATTATTTTGTATACTTTGGCTAAGAAAACAGACACTTCAGCCCAATATCCACCCTGGAGCTTCTAGACGAGTGCAGGTAAGATACTACCAAAATGGGGCTCATCTTCGTGGCTCAATGTTGAGTGTGTGTTCAAGGAATGCGTGGCCGGCCAAAGCCCCCAATCACTCACCCCATGGGTGGTGCCATCAACCACTGCACTCCTGGTAACTTGGTGCTTCCCCATGAAAAATGTCTGACATCAGAGACACCTATTTATGTCATAGCCCTGAGTCTGTTATTCACAATGTCTGTAAAATCAATGAATTTTCTAAATAAAGAAAAGCTCCGAGTCACACACTTCCCCAAAGCAGATGACCAGGTAGTCTCACTCAGTACAAAAGGGGGAGAGAAGGTGATCTTCTACCAACCAGAGCTATTAATTCAAACATTTCCTTTTGCAGCTAGCCCAGTGTGTAACATTTTGGTCATTTGATGTGATTACAAATGTCCTATAAATGTGGAGGAGTGGGGGGAAAAGACAGCACTGTAATAATGCTACCTCAAGAAATTCTCAGTGTCTTGTACCTCATCATGAGGACTTTGAAGCCGTTACAACAGGTACAAGCTCATGATGGCTGTTCCCAATGTGACTGTGTACTCCTCAGCGAAAATGACCATTCCTCATGGGTTGTAAATGTCACTGCTGTCCTATACTTAATTTTCTTTTCCAGGTGATTCACATAACAGGCCGACTTCGCCTAAGAGTGTCACTGTCCCATGGGAGGACTGTCCCCAGTCAAATCATGGGTCTCGTGGTTGTGGCTCATGCCTTACCTCCTCCTACGATCAACGAAGTCCGGATTGACTGCCACATGTTCGTCACTCGTGTGAATATGGACCTCAATATCATTTACTGTGAAAATAGGTACTTTGTTTACACTTTTATTTATCCTGTTGCACACCGCCCACTGGTGAGGGTTCACATTTTCCACTGCCTGAAGGATTTTACTTTTCCAGTGACACTCACTATAAATCCTAATCTTGTTTTTAATGGCTGCTTGGACTGACACCAAACATGCTTTTTATGAAAATTCACATTGCTTCCCTCATTTACATTAGCAACAACAGTTGAATAAACTGGGTTACCCAGACATCCATCCGCTACAAAGAAGGCCCATTTTGGCTGAAGACCCAAAGAAAGAGCAGGACTGAGATGTTATTTATTGGCAAGATGGTGCAGTAAAATATCTCTCCCATGCCTCTGGGTGACCCGCTTCCCAACAATTCCAGGACCCTGCATCCTGATGGCCAGTGTTCCCACAGATGCTCAACACAGAGGACTAAAGAGAATCTAAGGCCTCCAGAGGAAAGGGGTTGCAAAAGGAATTTGCAACACTATTAAGTAAAACTTTATCATTCTGAGGATTTCTCTTATGAGAGAGAAAGGCAGAGACAGAGAGGAGAGAGAGAGAGAGAGAGAGAGAGAGAGAGAGAGAGAGATTTTGAGATGACATCATAGAACTGAGTTGGCAGTTCTTCCCTAAAAGTGAGCTTTTTCTATAAAAGGACTTTTAGCCTCTGGTTAAAAAGTTCACTTTTTCCATTAAGCACAAAGTAAGGGACAGGGAACTAGGATGGTGCCCTTAAACCTTTCACCTAGAAGTCACCAGCCCATCTGACTGATATGAAGAGAGAATCACAGGTACAGGAAGAGGAGGGGAGAGGGCTGCTCATATATCAGTCTTGGGAAAGCATTGTGGAAAAACTGTCCATCCCCCATGAGGCAGAGAGAATTACTGAGGTAGTTTAGGGAGGAAGCTTTTGGGCCATAGATTGTTGTCAGGCTTGAAGGTAATATATGTCCCCTGAGCCCTGTGAATGCCTTCAGAGGGGAAAAGAGAGATTAGAATGGTCAAGTGGCTTGGGTAATTGACCTCTCCAGAGCCTAGCCAAGAGAAGGGCCCAAAACGCCTGCCTTCAGTCCACTAGGAAGTACTAGCAGAGCTGAGATGGAATTAGAAACTGTCTCCTATTTCCAGCCAGGTACTGGCCCAGGGAAGGAATTCACCCAAACTTTGAGTGCTCAGTAGTGTAGATAATACCTGTCACTGTTAGTTGATCAGTAATTCTAAATCTGCTCAAGTTTTATTGGCATTTATAAAACCTTCATCACCTTTAGGCACAGAATGTCAGGAAAGTTAAGTTAGCTGGAAAGATTAGCAGGAGTGGCACCTGCTAGCAGTGGTCACTGACTTCTAGTGAACATATATGCCTTTGCAGCCATGTAAAGCTCTAATCATCCCACTGTCTCATTTTAGCTCCACACAGTTCCATGAGGTAGATGTACCATCCATTTATGTCTCCCTGGGGCAGTTTGGTTTGGGGAGGAAGGTTCCCTGTCTTTGGCAAGGACTGAAGCCCAAGTCTGGCAGATTCACAAGCCCATGTACCTGGTGACATCCCGAGAGGCCTCCTTAGCTTTTCTTCAGTGGTCATAGTAAACGGCAAAGGACCAGTCAAAATGACCTCTGAGGACACACACACACACACACGCACACACACACACACGAAGAACACAGCGCCCGTGAAGCCATTTGGTCTCTAAATTAAGATATGGGGCACTGGAGGGGACCCAGCCAAGGGAGGCAGACGCCTTGCCAGAGGATGACTACGCTTGGATGAGCTCTGCCATTGCCACACCCTCCAAAACATGGTACCTATGCTCATCTGCCAGATTTACAATGCTGTCCTGTCCTAAAACATCACTAATTCTCATTGCTCTGATTGAGTGCCTGATTCTCTTGACAAGCTCCATGAATCTGAGCTCCTCCAGTGCCGATAGCAAAATTGAGATTATTTTCTGTGACATGCTTAACGCTTTTTTTCTCCTTCTTGTTTAAAAACTAAAATGTTCTGCATAACTTCCAATAGCCAATATAAGGCAGCATTCATTCCCAATGGCGATGATAGGAATTATGAAAAAGACTTTTATTAAGGGTAATTGCATATTCAATTTACAGAAAAAGCTGCCATATGCCTGGCTTTATACCACACTAGTTCCATTCCACTCATGAATTTCCTCCCCAATCCTTGAGATGGTTTTACAGATGAGGAAACTGAGGATCTGAGGGAAGAGGCCCCAGATTCTGGCCTTCTGCACCTGAGTGTTTACTAGCTCCTTGACACTGCGCTGGCCATGTTCACAGCAACAGGCTCTAGTACATAGAAAGAATCCAATCCGGTTTTTATGAAGGAGTTAATTCAAACAAGAATAAACCAAAGATATGCCTTCCCCAAAGAATGGCCTGGCTTTTTCCAGGGGTTTATTATTTAATTGGAGAGACGTTAAGAAACTAAAGCTCTCTCCTAGACAGACCAATTCTTCTGCTATCTCTAGGACAGCCTGGGGCAAAGCTGACATCTAATGCTTTCAGGAGCTGGCAAATTTCAGAAACACCAAGGAGGGTCTTTTAATGACATTCTGCTTCCTTTATTTGCAGAAAGGGAGTGTTAGCTGTGCTAGGAAAACAAGCTAACAAACAGAACAGCTAATCTGTTTTGTACTACAAATCCATGGAATTCTGGGAGAAATCCTTTTTATTTCCCCAGTGAATCTTACTAAGAGCCCCAGTTTGGCCAAAAAGATTATTTAAATTGCTAGACCTTGAGAAATCAGTCACCTCACCGAGCAGAGTATTTTAATTATATTCCGTGGTGTTCCTGCTTCCCCTTCCCTTAGTTGCCTGCCTTGGGGGCCAAGCATAATACCCCAATATTCAGTTCATGTTTCTTAAAGGTGACATTTCCAAAGCTTTGTTTCATATTTGAGTAGACCATATGTCATAAACATTTTTTTAAAGAGACAAAGAGAATAAATTAAGCCAAGAAATCTATTTTGGACTAACTAAAATGAACACTACAGCAGGTAATAAGCCTTTTGTAATAATCACTTACACGTTTGGTAAACCAGGTAGATCCCCCCGACGTGTTTTCCACTTTCGGTCCTATTTTCCTGCGCTAGTCTACCTAAGGACACTGATGTGTGGGCAGTCGACAACAAAGACTGACACACACCACTGTCAAGCACAGGCCCGGAAGGGCTGCTGAATGGTTTAAAAGTTTCTGTGTGGAATCTACCACAAAGTACCAGTTAAAAGAGCCAGGAGCGCAAGCTGAGCTCCCAAAAGACTAAGAAAGACAGTCCCCCAGGCATCTGTATGTCTCAGCATTTAAATTATATCCCTTGAAATGCCAATTTGGACTTTGTGCCAAGAAGCCGTTGAAGCCCTTTTTCATGGAAATACCCAATAGAAGACCAATCTGTTTAAATGAAAGGTGTCTCTAATCATTTAGTATAAACATAACATGTTTTTATTTTATTATGTAACCTTGAATTATCTTAGCCTGTAATGAGGATCTTGTATTGTTACTGGTCCTCAATAATTTCATGGAATTATGTTGTCTAAATGTGCATTCTCGTGCCAAAAAACAAAACCCTACCTAATTGCTTAAATACAATTGCTTGATCCAACACATACACCATAGAAATAATCTCTACAGATACACAGGGTACCTGCTCAAAGCGTCACATCCTCACAGGTACCTGGCATGATAAAAATATGTCACAAGATCAGTTTCATGGGTTGACAGTCTCTCTAGTTTCCTCCTTTCTGAGTTCTGGTCTGTGCTTTTCTTTGTAGGATTAGTGATTATATGGACCTGACCCCTGTGGACATCGTAGGGAAAAGATGTTACCACTTCATCCATGCTGAAGACGTGGAGGGCATCAGGCACAGTCATCTGGACTGTAAGTACCCCTGCGGGGAAGTAGCCCAGGCTGGTGTCCTTTGTCTTTCTCTCTCTAATTCTTGTGGGGCTCAGTGCTGACTTGCCCCTTCATGACTCCTATATGTGTCTGAGATGACTGTCATATAGTGAGAAGCGAGGCATAAATCATTTCACCCGGCACCGGCATTAGACGGAAAGCGAGACCTCAGGCCCAGAGAGATTGCTGGATCTTGAGGCACTCATCTAGAATTCTGTGGTCTCTTTGCTTCCTCTAACATGAAGTAGAGAGAGAACCTCTGTCTTAAGTGTTTCCTTGACCCTTTCACTCTCTAGACAGCAATTTCCACTTTGAAATTTGTGGTTTCGGTTTCAAACTATTCGTGGGAGAAGACAAGTTCAAATAGGCCAGAGCCTCATAAAAATACCTACTTGACTAGCCACAAAACTGGGTGAGGGCAAAGTCCTGGGGGCGGGGACAGGGGCACACTGTGTAGACACAGCAGCTATCAATGACAGTATCTCAGTCTTTCTAGAAGGAGAATCCTGGAGAGGAGGAGGTGCCTCCAGCCTCCCTCTCCTGGGGGAAAAGAAACCAGCATGCGCTGAGTCTTTTTCTGGTTTCCTACCCTCAGACTGAACTCAGAGTTTCTCCACTTGGGAGTCAGCAGGAGCAGCTCACTCTGGTTAAGTCTAAGCAATAAATCACAGGCGCATCATGAAGATTTCCCTTGGCATCCCCGGGCTGTTGATAGTATGCATGGAGGAGGTTCAGGAAACTGAACTGGTAGACCACTTAGGAAAGGAGAACCCCCTTCCCTCCAGAGCTCCTCCTTAGAGCTACAGGCTGCAGACTTCCTGAAAGACAGACTCTACCAGCTACATGAATGTTCTACATGCAGTTCTGAAACTTGATTTTAAGTACATGCAAGGTATCACAAATGAAATAGTTGGTTTCTCTTGCTGTCCCTGAGGAGAGTTATTTACCAGCTTTTTTGGCCTTTGCAATCAGTTCTGCATTTTAAACTCTTCAAAAGCACAATGGAGACTAAGCTAGCCAGTTTCCAAGTTTGTAAGCATCTTGTTACTGTGGTTTTTGTTTTTTAAAGGGTTTTTTTTTTAATGTGTATGAGTGTTTGCCTGCATTATGTATATATACGTACCATGTACATGCTTGGTGCCCACAGAGGCCAGAAGAGGGCATTGGATCCCCCTGGAAGTGGATGTAAAGAGGGTTGTTAGCTGCCCTGTGGGTGCTGGGAACTGAACCCAGGTCCTCTGAAAGAGCAGTGCAAGCTCTTAACCCTTGAGCTATCTCTCCAGCCTCTGTGTTTTAAACTTGGCATTAGCAACACCGATATGAGACTGAATTCAATGTCAAGTTCTGTATATAAAGAGTCTTTGGGCACAGCCTGAGTATAGGCTGCTCTCGATTGAGTAAATTATACTCCCAACACTGGGCGCGTGCCTCCATACTGCTCACCAGGGAGTCGGGGAACACACTTGCTAAGAATGAATGGGTGTTGTGTATCACAGAAGCAGATGGCTCTTCAATTAATTGAGGGGAAAATGATGCTGTTTCCTGAAAAGTAACATCCGGTTCTTTGTTGCTGGGAATTCAGAGCAAAATGGAGAAAACTCGGGATCTTTGAAGGAGCCCGTGGCTGTATTTCTGGAGCGATACAGGCCAGAGGTCTAGATTTTTAAAATGGATGTTGTTTACAAGACGCTATGATAAACCATGTGGGGGGCATGGGGAGGGGAAGACAGGGAGTGCTTTCTCATTTCGGGATCTTAATTAAGGTCTAAATTCAGAAACCTGACGTGGATTAAAAAAGAACTTTGTCATCCTCGGGTCTCATTTGGAAAACGTCATGCTGTCTTCTCTAGGAATTGATTTACAGCCTGGAGAAACAGTTCCCAGGGAACTGAGGCCAGTGCGGTTCATTTCTTCACATAAGGCAAAAGTCTCCAATAAATATGTTTGATGCCATTCCTTCTGATCCACCCGTCTCATTTCCAGTAACCAGAATAATTTGAAAGTGCTGAAAGTAAACTGCTCCACCACTCACTACCGCGCAGTCCTCCTAATCTTTCTGGTATCTTGCCAGCTAATAAACAGAGAAAGTATGCTTTCAAATTCTGTGATTTTTTTTTCATTACCGGATATTGACACACTGGCTATGGCTTCATGATTTAGCCTCCTAACAATGATTGAGTTCATTCTTTTAACTCATACACATGACTTCTCATTTTGAGTTTTTTTAATAGCCTTAAACACATGAAAAACAAATAGAATGAGCTGGTAATTCTGCACAGTAAAATACACTTCCTATATTTAGCTATCATGCTGTGGAATTACTCCACGGTGTCAAGTAGCACACAATTAGTAAAACTATGGGGGGGGGAGTGTTTTGATCCTGTAGAATTTTGATCCTAATCAGATTGAAATTTCAACGTTCTCGTAGTGCTTAATATCCTCAATTTCCAGGCCAGCTGGGGCTACAGGCACACACACACACACACACACACACACACACACACACACACAAAACTGATTCCAATGTCAGGTTTCGCATTCTGTGGCTAAAATATACAAATGCATCTCACTTTGTACAATAAACATTAGCATCATTATAAAGTAAGATTGAGTTTGAAATTGTGTGATGGAATCTCTGATGTTTACCTAATTCTCAGACCAAATCCAGCCCTGTAACAAAATGACAGAGCATGTAATAAGTCTTGGTTGTGTAAACACTAGAAGAAAAGGCAAAGAGCCAGCACAGCACCTTGTCTGTCCAAAGCCCTGGGCTATTAGGGGCCTCAACTGTGCCTTCTTGGCAGAAGGTCATGGTGACATCGAATCAGCTGAAGAATAAGATAGAATTCTAAAACAAAGGGATGGTTAAAAAATAAACCACATTAACTATTTAGCTTTTTCTCCTAGAGCTATTGGCACAATTCCTGGTTCTGTCCATGAAAAGCAGGTTTTAGACATCTGATCATACCTTAGATATTTTGATATCTGCCTTGTGCTCTGCGCTACAGATAAAACTTAAAGAAAAAAGGGCTCTGCAGTCTTTGAGAAATAGAAATCCTACCTTTATCATTGATATCTTTTTCCCAGCATAGGCATCTTTAAATCCGTAAATGAACTTGTGTCTAGGATAAGAAAAATAAAGAGGACTCTCGGGTGCACCGGGATCTGACATCTCTGATAAAAGCAAGAATGTGGGACCACTTACTTTCCTACTGGACAAACTCAAGATACCAAGAGTTAGCCAGTTTCCTAGAGCACGCTGTTAACTGGTTGTGGCGGCTCATGTTTATAATCCCAGCACTCAAGAGGCTGAGGCGGGAGTTCAGATCCAGCCTAGTCAACACATTGCCCTGTTCTGAAGTCAAGAGAGCGCCAGGCCTTTATTTGTCACTGTGACAAAAGACTTCTTTGACTGGCACTAAGCCCAAGTTCATTGGTTCTTCAAGTCAAATTGACTAAATGAGCATTTTTTTCAGGTTTGAATTTTAAATGGCACGTTAGCGATTGTTTGGGCACATCTCTCTTGCCACTGCCCTCTAGCCTTGCATTGCTAAGAGACACTGACCCAGAGATCTGGGTCATGTCCCTTACACGTGTTCCACTTACCCAGAGTCTGTGTCACCCTAGGATTGTGAGCTGTTTCCACCCAGAACGTAGACTGCTAAGCCAGACACAGGCATGTGTGTTTCATTTTCTTTTGTTCTCATTTAATGTGACTTTTGTAGAGAGTAGGAGCCCATTTGTCTTGCCACATCCCCTAGAGTTCCTCCTGGGTCATATCAGCAATAACTCTCTGAAGCCTTAAGGAGGGAGGTGTCTTTTTCCTTGCGACACTGTGTTCCACCAGCAAGACTCAAGTCTCTGCAGTGAAATTCAGAAGAAAAAAAAAAAAAGGAATCACAGAGTGTAGATAAGGTGGTGGCTTTCCCTTCCTAGTACCTTACCCAGGATGAGAAAACTCTAGAAGTCATTTCAGAAAAAAGAGGGTCTTTCCCATTGCCTATAGAACCAAGTGGAGGTAAAAAAAAGACATGGCTGACCCAGTATCCTTAAGGGTGATTGTTTAAAAGAACACACAATAGCCAAAGTGTTTGTTTCTTAATCTATTTCTTAGCAAAGTGAATACACGGCTACCTGGCATAATGCATTCCATGCTGTTTTGCATCAATAACCCCTACACTTCCCTCCTGAAGGCATCTCATCGCCAAATGCAAGCAGACTGCTTAATGCAGGACTAATTAGTATATCCCCTTCCTGTGTGCAGGCCCTCCATTGTAATTCCTTCCCAGCTCATTTTTTTCTACAACCGAGCATCAATCAAAGTAAGTGCCCTGCCTGCCTAGGCAACACAAGATGCCCTCCATGCATTTGTCATCTGCCACACAAACAAAGGGGGAATTTAATTGTTGATTTGGGTATGCAGCCATGGCGCCCAGGAACGGAAGCTGCAAGTGAGGGAGGGGAAGGGGGGAAGTTTGCTGGGTGGGCCAAGTACAGCTTGCAAGGGGGCTTTGTGCTGTTTTCTCTCCGCGCTTCTGGGCTGCTCTTCTGGGATTTTGCTGCACCCTGGCCACTGACTGGACCTTCTCCTAAAGCAAATGAGTTTTTTCACTCTCTTATGAATATGAAAATTCCCATGGAAGAAAATGTGTTTAATACCTACCACGTCTGTCTTTCTTCAGAAGCCAAATCAGCCTACATCATGTGTCTGGCCTTTGATGGAAAAGACTGTCACAGGGATAAAGCCGGATTTCTACACAGGAGTGAATGAGGGTTATCATTTTGTATCTTTCTTTTCTGGGCAAGTGCTGATTTGGGGTTTTCAAGTCCTTGGTGAGCACAAGGAGCAAGAGCAGCAGGCGGATCCCTGGGCTGACGGCTTGTTCAGTTTGTGGCTCTGGTCTGGAGCAATATGGACATGACCCAGGAGTTTGTAGAAATGCAAGATTTCAGGCCTACTCCAAACTTACTGAATCAGAATC